AAGCTTATCTTTTTATACAAAAATGCATAATATAATATTACAATTAAATAAATAAATTATTATCAATCATAATAATATCTTAGAACTTCCCGGAAAGCTGCAGCACTTAATTTCTAACTCATTACATAAAGAAAATAATATAAGTAATATATGTAAAGTTGCATAGTAACATTTTGTTTTAATTTAACACATTACGCGAAATAAATTTCGTATTACTGTGCCACATTACATATTTGCAATTAAGAACGAAAAAGAACTGTTACATTGCTCCCCCATTAAAAATCAATGTCCTCATTGATTTAAAAATTTCTGTAAAATTTCATGGCAATTTGTTAAATTAGACTCAGGTTCCCAAGTTGCATCATAAAGGGGGTATCCTTTCCATTTCACAAGATAAAATTTCTTTTTATGTTTTGTTTTCATGTCTAGAATACTTTCAACTTCATATTCATCATTTTCATTTTCATTAGTGTTAATAGGTGGTGGAGGTATTTCTCTTTCAAATTCATTTGTTGTTTTATGTGGTTTAATTAAAGATATGTAAAACACAGGATGAATTTTCATTGTTTTTGGTAAGATTAACTTGAGTAGGTTGCAGTATATATATACTGCAACCTACTCAAGTTAGACTGTTACATACTTATGACTAGACTGTTACATACATATGACTAGACTGTTACCTACTCATTTATGGGTGCCTGTTTTGGCATCTAGTTGGCTTGATATTTGTTTCCTTTTGATGAGGTTTTTGGCTTTCTTTGGTCCTTTGATTGCTTTCATCACTGAGGCTGAGGCACGAAGTTCCAATTGTGAGGGCTATGCCCGAACTGGATGCAAAGCATCCTGGCCAATTTCTGTCATCAGGCCACATTCCCATTTTATCATAACACTGGTAAAGTTTGTGGTAAACCTTGTATGCAACCTGAAGGTTGTAATACTCATTGGAAAGCAAAAAGACGAGTTCCATGCACTGATTGTGGCAAGCCTACTGTCTCAACTTCTGGCCACATGTCGAAAAAATCAGTCTCTGCGATTTCAGTCTCCGCCATGTAACATTTGTGGCCATCGTCCACATGTGTGGACGGTCATCTATAAGTATCACTCCAAAAAAATGCTTTAGAGATGGTTTCTGATATGCGAAAAAGTTATTGACTAGAATTTTTCAGTTAGATTTAGGTGTATATCAGGAACTTGATCTGAGCTGTTTTTATCCAAGGACTTTTTTTCAGGGAAATGCTTATTTTTGCTTTTATGATGAGGAATGAGGCATGTAGTGCCGAATTGGCAATCTGTATTTTGGCTTTGCATGTCACATTCGAGTTTGAGGATGAGGCATGAAGTGCCGAAATAGTGTCCATGATCTGGCTTTGCATGTCACATTCGAATTCCAGGTTTGAGGCATGATGTGCCGAAACAGTATTCATGATCTGGTTTTTCGTGATGCATTTGAATGCCAATTGAGGATGAGGCACTTTGTGCCAAATTGTTATCTTCACTTGGTGATACCCCAAAGCATAATTTTTATAATATATATCTTTCTGTAGTAATTTTACCTTGGTGTATCACTTTTTTCTAACTGATTTTTGATATTTGGATATCCTCACTTGGTGATACCCCAAAGCATAATTTTTATAATATATATCTTTCTGTAGTATTTATACTTTGGCATATCACCACGAGTATGCTATGTTTTGGATCTCTAGAAGCTTTCTTGTATAGTCGATACTTTGGTGTATCACTTTTTTCAAAAAATCAGATCTTACATTTGACTACTACCGAAAAATTTCACTTTGTTCAGAATTATGCGACACAAAAATCCCCTATGTACGGTCCAGGTACCTTGTTATTATTTTTGCATTTGAATTTTTTTGTGCTTTTATACTTTGGGTTGCTACCAAATCGAAAAATTTGATAAAAAAGCAAAACCGGGATTATACGTGGACCAAGTAGCTGAGAATTTATTACCTATTTGAATCTAAAAATATATTAAGTTCATAATCTATAGGATTAATCATTTCTTCTATTTCATATTCCAACCAGGGATGCAACCATCCACTCTTATTATTAGCATGATTGATATGATTTAATACATCGCCTCTTTCTCTTCTTCTGATTAATTTATTTCATAACATGCATCTTTCTACTTCTACTAGTTTATAGAAGAATTCATTACATTTCTCATCTAAAAATCTCATTTTGTTGTTGTGTTTTTCATAGTCATCAGTATCCATGCAGTTGCTAAATCACCTACCCTCTTCTTCCCAATATTGTTCTTTAAGCTGTATCTCCATATATCTTACTGACACTGTTTTCCAATATTGATTTTTAAACTTTTCACGCCTCATATGCAATTCAAGTTTTACTTCCTTATTCCAAGTATGATTAATGCATAAAGCCATACTAAGACTAACCAATGGGAGTTTTTGAATGATTATTGCAATTGTATCTGGAAGCAGAAGTGGATTATACAAATACATTTTTATTGTGAATTTATTAAAACTTGTGGATTTTTTAATTGATTTTTTAATCCCAGTTTTGCTTTTTTTATTCAAAAAATTTATCACGCTTTTGCATCCTACCACATCAAAAAATTTATCATGCTTTGTAAATGACTCTAAATAATTACTCATTCTCTTCGTTAGACCATTCACTATCTGAATCAGACCATTCACTATCCAAATCAGGACATTCGACTTCGATGTTTGGATTAAGTCTGTAAGAATTACTTTTCTTAACGAAAATAAAATCAATATTTTAACACGTTTTATCGAACAGGTACTTTAATTATTGTAAAAATACAAGTTATCTTTATTATCTTAA